CATTCTAGTAGATACAGTAAATCCTTCCCTTTCATTTTTCCATATAGAGGGATGCATAGCAGGCATTTATTTAAAGTATTTATTGCATCTCAGCCCAACAGGGCCCATGAGGCACCAGATAAAAATGTTATTTGAAACATTAAACAAAACCAAAAACATTATTTAAAACAGATAAACAATTTCTTAGAATATAGTTTGAAAAAACAAACACACACAGTGTTAAAACAGCCAAAGAATCCAGCCCTACTTTTAAAGAATTGAAGGTAATGCAAAATAATGCAGTCTTAGTTGGCTGCCAAAAACTCATGATGGGTGGGCCAACCTGGCATCCCTTGTGAAGATCTTCCACATCTGGGGTGGCATTACTGAAGCCCTTGTCACAGTCTTATCATTGGCTTGTAGAACATGCAACAGGGCCTCTGCTGAAGATCCCAATTTTTCACCAGACCCTCATATATGGGGAGGTAGTTTTTCCTGGTCCCAACTGTTTAGGATTACCTTGAATTAAACTCAAAAACAAGTTGGAAACCAGAGCAGTTGGTACAAGACTGGTGATCTGTGATCCCAGAAACACACACCATATTTTGTCCTAATTGCTACCAAACACCTTTCAAAGTGAGTCTTGAAAACGGGTTACAGTAGTCTAATCGGGAGACAGTTAAGGTGTGAACTTAAATAAGAGAGAAAGGGATACAGGTGATGCACCAGCTGAATATGGGCAAAGGCACACCTGGCCACAACAGCCATCTATACTTCCAGAAATAAAGCTGGATCCAGGATCAATCCCTAAACTACAAATGTGGTCTTTAAAAGGGAGTGCAATTTCATCCAGAGTAGATTGTAATCCTAGTCCCAGGTTAGTTTTCCTGTTAACCAACAAAATGTTGGTCTTGTTTGGATTGAGCCTCATCTTTGTATAGCTTCTTTGGCTTCAGTTGCATAAAAGAGAGAAGAGGGTATTGTCAGCAGATTGATGACACCCAACGCCCAAAAGATGTACTGCAGTGGTTTTATGTAGATGTTAGAAAGCATAAGTAGACACATTGGACCTTATCACACGTGGGCCACAAAGTGATAATAAAGTGAAATAAGAATAAATCCAGTAATAAACCAAAAGAAACCCCACAATACGTAAATGGCTATCACACGCAATTAGCATCATCGCGCTTTTAAGGAAAGCGCGATGAAGCGCTCCCGGGAATCGTATTTGCTGTTCGCACACAAGTGAGAAAATCTCGTACATAACCAAGCAATGATGCTCTGCGCATGCCCAATACAGCTGCGGCTGTCACCCAAACCCCTTCCCAAGCCGGCTTGGAGTTCCTCCTTGGAGTGCAGGCCCTGCTCAGGGTCCACGCTCTGAGGAGAACGTCCTCGGAGAGCCAGCTCTGAGGACGTCCTCCTTGGAACGCGGGCGCCTGCACTCCGAGGAGGTCCCCTCAGAGAGCCGACCATAGAAGTCCTCTGCTCAGAGGACCAGCCGATAGAAAACCGAAGCCGGGGCTAAAAGGGCTGGTCTCTGAGGGGACCTCCTCGGAGCGCGGACCCTGTGCAGGGCCTACGCTCCAAGGAGGAAGTCCTCAGAGAGCCTCCTCGGAGCGCGGACCCTGCGCAGGGCCTGCGCTCCAAGGAGGACCTCCTCAGGTCCTCCTTGGAGCACAGGCGGGGAAATGCTCTCCAATACGTATTGGGGAAATGCTCCCCAATACGTATTGGCTGTTCATATTGCCGGCAAAAGTGAAATGATTCCCATCGCACAATTGCAGTTCCCCCAAAAACC